AATAATGCTGCTATAAACATGGGTATGCAAATATCTCTTTGAGACCCTGATTTAAATTCGGGTATATACACAGAAGTGGGATTGCTGGATCATGTGGTAGTCCTATTTTTATTTTTTTGAGGAACTTCCATACTGTTTTCCATAGCAGCTGCATTTTACATTCCTGCAAACGGTGCACAGAGGTCCAACTTCTCTACATCCTTGCTAATACTTATTATTTTCTGTTTTTTTGATAGTAGCCATCCTAATGGGTATGAGGTGGCAATGTCTTTCTTATACTTCTTCACACGCTTGCTGGAATTATGGATGTTTTGAAACTATCTGATCAACCAACCTGGGGTTGCTCAGTTCAACTTTCGATGGCTGATGAGTATTCAAATGATCTTCAAAGTTCAAAGAAACTGTGACAAATTAAGAGTTTTCTGATCAAGAGTGGAAAACATCCAGAACATTCATGTTTGTTTTCCATCCAAAATTATCACTCAATTAATGTTCACCACCAAATTCCACCTGGTTTCATTACATAAACTTCATAGTGCTCTCCTTACAAGACTTCTGTGTGTTTTCCTAATGATGGAAAGACCACTTCATCTTGGCTTCTGCTTTTCTTCTGGGAGCTCATGCTAAGGTCATTGTGCCATGTCTTTTATATGTTTGGACTAGGCTAGAACTCCAATCCCTCCTGATTCTAAGTATTGGTCTCTCTTCAGACTGGGGTGGTTGGCTTCTTTTGGAGGTCAAAAAGGTCAGCTTGGCTACCTCTAAGTAATGACCACAAGTAACATATTTTCACTGTAAATGACTTTCTTGTTTATCAAATTTTATTTGCAGTTGATATTGGGTCAAAACCTCATATACTCACCTTGGTAGCCTGCATTCCTAAGACCATCATGCCATTCCCAAGGAGGGTATCTTATGGTACCTTTCTGCCTGGTGTGCCTCTCCTTCAATGCATGGCTTTAAAATAATAAATCATACCTCTTATATTACCTTTTATTTCCTTATCATCTCTTGAGTTAAATCCCTGCATGCATTCAGCACAGCAAAGTACATGGCAAGGAGAGAATTTATGACTCACAATTGATGAATATTTCATCTCATTGGGAGGTAGACTGAGGGCAACACAGTGTGCCAACCTATGCTTGACCAAACACCATTAGACATTTCAGTCCAATACAACTGAATGCTTCTGACCTTGAAACTCATTGGTTATTGGTGCTTTACAAATAAATCGGTATGGGACTATGATGTTTTTTGGTCATGTGACCAAGGTGATGGTTCTCAAACTGGGTACCCTGTTGAGGCAACAGATCTCAGGAACCCTATCTACTCACACTTGAAAACACCTTGCAGAAGTACCCTAATCATAATTAAAGTACACAATAAATGTGTGAGGGATTGGTATGGAAAGGAAATTTATTTTCATGTTCAAGACTATGGTGAGCATAAACCGGAAATCTTAAAAAAAAAAATTCAATGCCAGAGAAGAAAGACTGGAAAGAAACTGGGTCCTTGATGATGTTGATGATCCATCCAGAGCCACTATTTTAAAGACTTCCTGTTAAGTGACATAATTATTACTTAAGATTGTTGAGTGGGGGATCTCTGTTATTTGCAATCCAAAGTATCTAAAACCTGAAGCCATGTGTAGGGTTTTAAGTAATGAAAAATGGGAAGCTGCTAAAAGGTTTTAGCAAAAATGTAACATGGTCAGATATGAATTGCAAAAAGATGGTCTAGTTTCAGTGTTGAAGGTGGTATTGTAGGGGTTTAAGGTTGAATGCCTGGGGTAAGTATAAAAGAAGACCAGGTTTGAGGGGGAAGATTCATCTCAGACATGTTGAATGTAATCTGCCTTTAAGTTTTCCTAGTGAAAATGCCAAGTAGGCACTGAAATATATGGAACTTAGAAATGAGATCCTGTTTGGAGAGATGAATTTAGGAGTCATTGATATATACAGCTATTGAAGTCCTGGATATGGATGGATGGGCTTGGGATGAATCTTTGAGGCACTTCAATACTTAATGCCGGGATAGAAGAGGATGAGTCTCCAAAGGAGGCAGAGAAGGATATGCAATGTAGAGGGTCTGAATATCTTAAAGTTAGTCTATGAATTTCTACTTAAGAACCCATGGGACAGGGGCACCTGGGTGGCTCAGTTATTAAGCGTCTGCCTTCGGCTCAGGTCACGATCCCAGGGTCCTGGGATCGAGCCCCGCATCAGGCTCCCTGCTCCGCAGGAAGCCTGCTTCTCCCTCTCCCACTCCCCTGCTTGTGTTCCCTCTCTTGCTGTGTCTCTGTCAAATAAATAAATAAAATCTTAAAAAAAAAAAAAAAAGAACCCATGGGACAGAGGACTGGACTTGATGATTTCTCAGAATTCTCCTACTTCTGAGATCCTTGATTATAAGATAATTATAATTGTTCCACATTGTGGCATCAATGATAAATACTGTCAAATCTTTTTTTGAATCTTGCCAATATCAAATAATCCTGCCTCTGAACTCATATTGCACATTACCTGTATTCCTGTTAGGGTATATCCTACCTTGTAGTGTGGTTGTCTGTGACTATGTGTCATTTCTTTTACTAGAGAAGCTGTTCTTAAAGGCCAGAAATTACATCTTATTTATGTCTTTATCTTTCTCCCCAAACTGCTCTACCTAACTGACAAGGTGTTTTGAATATAGCTGGACACCAATGCATTCTTTGGTGAATGAGTATTTGGTAAGTAATTAAAAATACTGAGTGAAATTGCTAATTTTTTAAATTGAATTCTTGAATGTGGACTAGAAAGTCTGACTGAACATAAAGGTAAATAAAAATCTCATCCTGGAGAGATCTAAGGGTCATGGAACATTTATCTGAAGCCCTCTACCTAGTGAGGAACCAGCTGTCTGTTTAAGGTGGTAAGATCATTATGAATCACTGACTTCCAGTTTTCTGCTTCAATCTAATGATCAAATCATACAGAAGATAAAATAATCCTTACTCTGACCAGCACTCTTATGCCCCCAAAGTTGATCATTTTCCTATTTTCTGCAGTACTACCAAATTGGATCCTTCCTCATTTGAGGAAGAAAGAAATGTTACATTTGGTCAAAGCAGACTTCAAAAATGGATTGAGTAATCCATTACCAGAGCTTGGTATAAGCTGCAAGACAGTCAATATCATCAGCTTAGTCTTACTATAGTATAGTTTTATGACTGTTTATACCTGGTGTCCACCCAAAACAACACACTTAACATTCAGCTGAGTTCATTACAAAATCTAAGAGTTGGCAAATAATCGGTCCATTATTATAGGGAAATTGGATAAAACACAGAATGGAAGATTAAATGAAACCTAAATTTATTGATACCTTCTATTTGCTGGGCTCTTTAACATTGTGATTTCATTTGACAAGAAAAATAAAAGTATACGTACATTTGTTTTCAGGTCTTATTTATATGTTCTTAAGTAATTAAGAATTTTGAGTATTATTACACCATTCATAATTATCAATTTAAGATAAAAATTAATTAAATGACTTCCATGTCCCAGGTTTTAAAGAAATCTAGATAGGCACTTCTGCTTTCCCATATCCAATAGTCCCTCAAAAATTCCCTCTTTTTAAAGCCAGCAACCATTAAGTTACTCTTAAACCCACACTAAGTACTATTTAACACAGGGGACAGAAAGCCAGATAGGTCTGGTTTTTGGTATCAGTAGTGTCTTTGTTGTGGAGAGATGTCAGTTTCCAAATTCTCACTACACTGTACAGAGCTGTGTACCTTAGGCAACTTTATAGCTCAAACCCCACTCCCTGGGGACTTATAGCAACTTGTAAATCCATGAGGAATTTTTCAGCAAAGTTCTATTTCTTAGTTTATTCATGGATTAGACTTATAAGAGTAGATTCATTCTAAGGCTCTAATGAGCAGGGTTTTTTTTTTCTTCACACTGAAAAGAACACTTGCTTCTCTTTTCCAACATTCGGCTTATGATGGTTTTAGAATTTATGTTTTCAGTTATATCCCCCATTGACTTTGAAATCTTAGAAAATACTCACCGTGGTCTTCCCAGAATCCAGCACTATTCAAAGCCTTTCTTTATGTAGCATTAAAAAATGGAGACCCACAAAACTATTTCACATGAGTTTGTTGCTCTGGTTTACTTCTAAGAACATTGGCTCTGCTCTTCCAACTAACCAGAAGTCATGACAGTGGTCTAATAACTGAGCAATGTCTGTTATTAGGGGTAGAGAACACGAAGAGGATTTCCATATTAAGTTTCTCAGAGTTGGGCTGAAGGTAAGTTCTTTTTTCTTTCACTGGAAAAGATCTGAACTAGAATTTTTCTTTTCTTTTCTTTTTTTAACAATATATGTCTCCAGAATGAAGTCCATAAAACCAATCTGAGAAGTACTAACAGCCCCATTGCCCACTTGTTAGATGTGCCCGCATCACATTTGTGACTGGTCTGGGTTGTTTCATTTCATTGACTCCATGGGGCTATCAGTATATGGGATTTTTACAACTTTTTATTTAGGGCTGAATTTCCTTTCAGTTTTCAATACTTGCTCATTTCTGTTCCATTATTTCCAAATTTCATTCCTTTTTGTTTCACCTCACTTCAAATGCATTTCAAGGGTATCTTCCTCTTTTTGGATGATAGGACATTAAACTTTTGAGTTGAAAGGTCCCTTAGAGTTCACCCATTATGATGTCCTTATTTTACAGATGAGAAAAGTGAGGCACAGAGAAGGGAAGGGAATTGTTTGTCACCATTTAATGGGATTTGTCTTGGATCCTAGCTCTTCTGAGTACTGATTCAGCCACCTGCCTAAAAAGGCAATATAATCTGAAGCAGGGATCAGAACCAAGGCACATATCTGAACAGTTTGTTCCCTCACTATATGATTCTGTATTAGTTTTCTATGCTATGTAACAAATTGCCACAAACACAGTGTCTTAAAACAATATATATCTACTATCTATTACACCAGCTCCTGGAGGCTACCCTCACCCTCTTGACATGTGGGCCTTCTAACATGTCCATTTATTTCTTCAAAGCCAGCAAGGGAGAAAGCCTCTAACAAAATTGTGTCTTATACAACTTAATATAATCAAGGAGAGACATTTTATCACCATTGCCATATTCTATTGGTTAGAAGCAACTCACGAGTAATGCCCAGACTCAAGGCAATGAGATTACAGAAAGGCATGAATACCAGAAGATGATGATCTTTGAGGGTCACTTTAGGGTCTGTAGACTACAGCCCCCCCAAAATGATTTACTTGGGCTAACATCAGAATAAATTTGAGGCAAGCAGTATTTTCTCTGTGGATCAGAGTCAATTTGCAAACATATTTTTAGAGGTGCGTCTCCAAGATCCTCTACCTTGTTCAATAATTTTATTATTTTTACCAATGAAGATGAGTTTTTCAAATTTATGGGTGAATGAGATCAGTGTTAAATAATTTGGATGACACAAATAAGTTCCATTTTTATTTCCATGCTAATGTAATGGGGATAATATTTTTGATTTATGTAAAATGATCTTCATATTTGAATTTCCTTATATGTGACCTCCTAGACAGCCAGAGGCACCATTTGCCTTGCAGAAAATTAGAATTTTTGCAGCAGGAATGCAAGAACAAAGACAATGCTGAACTTTAAATTCCAAAATGGAAGTTTTGAGTTCACAGACTGATTATATTTTGGAAGACAAGCTTTGGTGGGGGAGAATAGATTTTCTAAACTTTAGTTCCTACTAATGGTTTTGATCATTGAGGGCAAAGGGACTTAGGTATTATGTCACAGAAGCCATTAAGGAAGGAAGGAAAACTCACCCTTTGTAATCTCAGAGGGCTGTGGGAAGGAGAAAGGAGACTGAGTAGGGTATGAAGGTCTGATGGTAGGGCCCTTGGGGACCTTATTCAAGGGCCCCAAAATTCAAGGGTGCAGAAGTATCCAGATAGGTTTATGGAAGGGGAATCCAGTCATATTGTGATGATTGGTCAATTTCTGTAGGCAGAGTCTGTGGTAACCTGCAAACTTCTAGAATTAGTCTCACAATGGCCTGGGCATCAATAGCTTCCAGGATGGTGTATCACTGACAGAGAGGTGGCTTGATAGATGGATCCAAGGCACCACTTCCAGCTTCCTGTGATCCATCTGTGTCATTCTCGGAGCCCAGAAATTCTCACGTGCCCTGGAGAGGGCATATGGAGATCCTAAGAGGGCTTGGACTGAAAACCAATGTTCACAGTGACAATGTTGGACCTTACCTGAGCTCTGTGATCCTGGAAAATAAGAGAGGGGTTAGAAATCCCCCATCCTTTTGTGTTCTAGGAGAGGGTTCACTGCAAAGAACCACCCTCCGCCATATGACCTAGATAAGATTCTCCCCATGCTGCCTGCCTTATCTACAACAAGGCCATACACACATCCTCCAAATTCCCATTTTGCCTCATAAATGATTAGATGAACTGCTTGTGTCTATTGACTAAACAGAAAAAAATACTTTTTAATTGAACTTTATTTATTTTTTTACGTTTTTTTTTTTTTTAAGTAGGCTCCATGCCCATTGCAGAGCCTTGAACTCATGACCCTGAGATCAAGACCTGAGCTGAGATCAAGAGTCAGATGCTGGACCTACTGAGCTACCCAGGTGCCCTCTAATTGAACTTTAGTTAGTTAGGACTCTCTCCTTACCCCAGGTCTCTGAACTTTGGCCCACCCTCAGCCTGAACCAGCATAGAAGTCCTCTGTGAATAGGCTGGCCTCAGGGTAAAGTATTCTCTGGTCTACTATTCCATCATACCACCCTTTCATCCCATTTCCCCACATCCAATTCTTTTTAGTCTTGTTAACTCCTCTGTATAAAAGAAAAACTATTTTTGCTGAACTCTTGAGATGCTTGCAGACCTTATGCTCGAGACGTCCTCCCTATAACAATAGTCCCTACTCCTACTTCTCTTCCCTCTTTTGGAACAATCCTTTTGAATAATGTCTTTCCTTGGTAAGTCTGGATTTGTTTTTATTTGATAACAGCATAAAGTAAGTTTGTAACCAGAGTCGACTGGTCAGGGCCACTGATCCAGCTGTGGATGCCAGTATGATGACCCAATGCTTAGGTGAAGTCATCAACACCTCTGGGATGAGACCAGACAAATTGTTCCACTGTACAGACCAGGGAGGACCAGAGGAAGTCACCTGGATTTGGGGCCCCATTTCCATCTTCATGAAATCTCATGATTCCTTCCTTTAGCCAGTCAACATCTTGGAGAAGAGGGGCTGGAGTGTTCTAAAGGACTAAAAATTTACTCAAAAGAATCAAGTCAGTTTCTTTCAGCTTAAAAGACTTTTTTGAGACACTGTTACCAGAAAATTTATTTTTTTCTTGCCACGCGGCAGGGTCTTATGAGGGTGACTAGCTCTGCTACCAAAAGTTTACAAAAGCCACTTTTTCTTAGGACAACTGACAGTAGTGTGTACAAATTTGTGAACAGCTACACTAGAATTATGAATCAAATAAAACAAGATGATGTTCCACAGCAGTAAATGTAAGATCCTACCTTTGAGTTGAAAAACATGTAAGTACAGGATGAGATTATTTGGTTTAGGAACAGCATGGCAACACTCAGGAAGAAAAAATTAGGGGTTGTATTAGTCAGGAATTTTTTTGGTTGCAACTTACAGAAACCCAACTGGAATTAGGCAAAAGGGCAAAAAAGGGAATTTATTGGCTCTCAGAATCCAAGAACAACCAGACTGAGGGAAGGAATATTGCTGCTGGGCTTCAGGGATAAATTGGGCAAGGGACACAAAAGCCCTGGGGCCCTCCATTCTAGTCTTGGCTTCTCTTTGGGTGGCATTCTCTCCTTTGGGTTTTCTTCTCTCACTACAGACCATTTTTTCACGCTAGGCAGCATTATGACCTTTAAATGCTTGTGAGTCTTACCTCTTCTGACTTTTACTACTAGACTTGAAAGAGACCCAGAAAATTCTGTGAAAGAATTCTGATAGGACATTTGGTAAGGGCTCTCCTGTAGCCAGGGAAACACAATCATGTAAAAAAGGGAAGCTTTCAAAATGGTCATTTAAATGTGCTATGGGCAGGGGGAAAGAGGAGGGCCATTCCAAAATTTCAAGAAGTAAAGGGAGTTTCTAGATAAACAACCCTATATAGTTCAAGTATAAGTGTGTGGCCAACACTAATAGTAAGTCAGTGAGAGAATGTGTTTTTCAGAGAAGCTGATATAGCAAGAGGTTGGGTCTGTAGATGTGGAGTTTCAGATGCAGCAGTTAGCACTCCTGGAGGCTGGGGTTTTGTCATGGCGTCATGCTTACAGGAGATTACAGACCACATGGAAGATGTTTCTAGGAGAGCAAGTAGATGGGTGAGGCAACTCAAACTGTTCCATGTTATTGCTGATGCAGCTATCCTGGGAACCCCTGAAAGCACCGAGGATGTTTAGGTTGGAGAGGAGAAAGCCCAGAGACATAGCAGCTGTTGTCAGCTGCTCCTAATTCTTTATGGACTAATACATAGAAGCTTCAGGGCAAAAGACTGATTCAGTATAAGGGCTTCCTCACAATCAAAGCTGTCCTGGAATGGATAGGTGCATATGATGAAGTGGTGTGGTAACAGTATATGGCAGTATGGGGTTCATTTATTCACTCCTCTGTCCCTTCATTCATTCAGCAAATATTTATTAATTGACAAACAGACAACACTGACAAATAGACAAACATTCTATAACAGCAGCTCATCACCACACTACTTACACCTGGCCCAGTGTCCTGGCACTATATTAGTATTTGTTAAATGAATGAAAGGTATGAATGAGTAAGGGGCATGGTCACTGTCCTGGGTACTAGAGATGACTAGGTCCCTCAAGGAACTGACAGTCTAATAACTGAGGCAGCCAATCAAACAGTGATGATGCTCTGCATGCAGTGCTCTGATGGACGTATGCACAAATTGCTTTGAAAGGACAGAGGAGTGGTATTAGTAGAAAGTGCTCCTGGGGTTCAGAGCAAGGCTGGCAGAGTTGGAAACTTCTTATTGGAAAAGGTGAGCAAGGTGGAGAAAAATGGGAAGGACATTCCCAGAGGGAGAAAGAGTGTAGAGAAGGGGAAGAGGTGGGGCCAGGTGGGGCCTCCTGCTCCTGGGTTGTTCCCTTGCTTAATGGAAGCCTCACTGCAGGCCCTATGGTGCTGGGTTATGTTCCTTCCATTTCTGCACTGCATTTCCCATTCTTGCCCTATGATATGTGCTGGACTGGAGGGGGGCCGTCAGGGAACTCGAGGTGTGCTGAGGAGGCCTTGGGATGGGGAGAAAGGAGGAATTGGCTATCTTAGAGAGTGGGTAAAAAAGCTAGGGCATGTGTTCACCTTGGAAATGTTCTATTTAACAACTGGGTCATGCACATCTCTAGATACTTTTTTCTACCATAAGTGACACCAATAAATGTTAAAAAAAAGTTATTAAAAAACACCCCCTACATTCTCTCTACCTTCACATGGGGAGAGGGCAAAGGTCTAGGATCACCAAGGTGCCCTAATCTCCTTAGAAGCCCTTCACCCAGTCCTTCCTCAGAGCATTCTTATTGTCACTCTCATCTCCTCCCTTATTCAAGCTGACCTCTTTTCTGTTGTGGTGTGATGTGTTGTGACGTCATGTAATATTTTCAGTCTCATAAAGATGTAAATGATAGACCAAGTTTAATCTCATACCCATTCAGGGTTCATTTACATTTTAATAATAGAGAACATTTTTAGCTAAAGCAATGCCATCTTCAATGGGAAATTTAAGCATCTTCAATAGAAGTGGGAGGATTTAGAGGATTTATGATAAAATTATTTTCTTTCTCTCCTACCCCCAAGAGTTTTTTTTCACACTGTGGGTCATAGATTGGGAAGCCAATTTTGTGAGTCACAGCTAGTATTTTAAAAAGAATGAAATAGAATTGAATAGGATGAAATAGAAGAGATGAAAATATCAGAGTTCATAGCATGTGGTATGAATAAGTGATGTTTCACAAAATGTTATTAAAAACCCCCCCAAAAATCCCAAAATGTTATTTCAGGTAAATATATATATGTGTGTGTAAATGATGTAAATTACATTTTTTGCTGTGAGGTATAGTAAAGACAAATGTTTGAAAAATGCTCTCTCAAATTTACTCTCTAGAAAAGTACAATTTGATTTTGCCTAAATGAGTTGGCTTTTTCTTAGACTAGGAACAATCTTGGCTAGTCCGTCTTGCTTGGTGGTGGGTTCTAAACAGAATAATTTACTTTTTTATGTCTCATATCAGAGGAATGGAAGTCTCTCAGTTTTTCCAAGTCCTCTCAGGAAAAGAAACAAAATGAAAGACCTCACAATCTCCTGCCTACCTAAGCAAATGATTTTTTGCCTGAGATCTCCCCAGGGAGCATTATAAGAGATGAAAACTAAGTGTTTCTAAGTGCCTTTCAGAATTAGAGTAATTAATAATGCATATCTGGTATTCATAAGAGTTAATGTGGATTTCCTATTGGACTTTTCTATTTGTTGAAGGCAGAAGAACCAACATGGCTTGTTTAAATCAAATAAGGTCACTGTTTGAAGAACTAATCCCGAGGAAGAAAAGCTAGATCCATTACTAGTATTGAAAAGCATTCCCCTGTTCCCAAAGACCAGCTGTATCCTTGAGTCTACAGCACCAGATGATGGGGCAGAAGAAGGCACAGAAGTGTTTTTAATGATTATTCCATTTTAAGATAACTGTACATGAAAATGATAGTCTGTACAATTATTTTTTTCCTCCAGAAAAGCCTCCTGAGCTCTGAAGAGATGCATGGAGGATTCCATCTTAGCAAGTCAAGAGGATGACTGAAAATGCCAAGTCTTTTAAGGTGAAATTGATCCTAGTAGACATTCAGAAGGACAAGTGTGAGAGTTTCTGCCCCAGGGAAACCACCCAGAGTTGTAAACTACTTGTTTATGTGATAAAGTTTGCCCAGAGTCTGTGCCACCCAGATGCAAAAAAATAAACCTCCAATCCTTTGGCCAAATTGATAATGAGTAGTGATTAACAAAAGTTCTTTTCCTTGGCTAGACTCCCAGGAGAGAGATTCTGTTTCTTCCAGGTGGCTTAAAGAGGAGCTTGCCTTTGTGTGTTCATCATGTTCCAGGAAAAGGGAAGGCAGAGCTAATGCCTCTCCTACAGGTAAGTTTCCTTGCCTTAGGTGGTCTTTATGGATCAGGCTGCCTCCTAATTACATCGTGGTCATTTTAAAAGTGAAACTCCAGGAAGCAGTGGGCCAGTGAACAATTCCTCTGACTTCTCGGAGCCCCCAGACACACAGGAGTAAGTGGTTACCCTAATGCGATAATATTTCACAAGCTTCACAAAATAGCCTGGATGCTGCCTCCCTGGAATTCCATATTACATTATCCCTAAGGAAAACACAATATGCTGAAAGAAGTCACCTCCAAGCCTTATTTGTTATCTAATTTTAGCATGAAATATTTTTTACTTAAAAGCAATTATAGGTTGGGGAAGCCTGGGCATATCCAATGTTATTAGTATTTCTCTCACATTTAGCCCCATGCAATTTGAATAGACTTGTTCATAGTTTAATAAATAAATGTTTATAAAGAAGCAATGAAATTAAAAGTGGCATGCAGGTCCCAGTAAGCAGTATTTTAAGGAGATACAGACCACCATGATTATCAGAATGTGGGAGGATGGTGTTATGGACAATGCTGACTGAGGATTCGCCTTTTACTAAACATGATCTTTTAAATATAGAGCTTTGCTTAGAAATGAATGGTCCGTCTCATATTCTTGCAAAGTTACAGGAATTATACCTAATATGATCTAAATTTCCCTGGAAATGGTTTATGGACCAGAGAAGTATGTTTGGAGAGACAGTTGAAGAAAATTCAGTAAAAGCTATGAAATGTAAATGAAGTCTAATAGGCTTAAGCCTTCTATGAATACCTGTAAGGAGTTTTTCCCAAGGAGAGTTCTTTGGGATGAACTTCTTGATTCCTTGTTTTCATCATTTGCAGCCTAATATATGCATTTCTCCTCTGTGTGAGCTGGGCATGTGTATACTTGATATCTCCCCTGATTCTCCATACCACTTAGCAGAATGCAGGAGTTTCACAGATAAAGGTTGAAAAGAAGGATGAAAGAGAAGAAAAACAAAGGGATATAAAAGGAAAAATGGAATGAGGGAAAAGAAAGAAAGAAGGAAAAAGAAGCAAGTCCTCTTAGAGCCTAGAAAATAGAATGTAGGCAGAAATAGAGGCAGTCTTCATTTATCCTGTTTCACAGTCTCACGGCAGCCAGGACTGGTGTCTGTTTCCTTATCCTGGGAGAAGGGGGGAATCTCATCTATCTGGGCTTGGGATATGACCGGGAGTGGGATTCTAGAATAAGCAGCACCCACAAGGCCTTCTAGGAGGGCCAGTCAGGTTTAGTGAATTTTAGAGAAGAGAAGGAGCAAAAAAGAAGAGAAAGAGGGGGCCCAGAGGCAGTACGTGGGAAGGAACTGGGCAAGTGAGTATTTCTGACGCACAGCAAATGCTTGTAGGTTGTGCAAACTAACAGTAGATACATGAGGTTGGTCTTGGCACAGAGTAGGTACTCAACAAATAGTTGATGGGTGAGGTCTGATAATGGAATCTGGGGGTAGGCAGAGAAGTAGGTGCTAAAAGATTTAAAGGAATAAATGATTTTCAAGCATATTGGAAGGATTTATGTTTCAAATTGATGTGCCAATTATACATCATTTTATTTTCCTTGGTGAAGCAATTCCCCAAAGGATTTTGTGGCAACGTGTGTTGTGTGTGTGTGTGTGTGTGTGTGTGTGTGTTCCACTGTGGTCATCAAATGGACCACTTCTTTTTTTTTTTTAATTAAAGATTTTATTTATTTGACAGAGACACAGTGAGAGAGGGAACACAAGCAGGGGGTGTGGGAGAGGGAGAAGCAGGCTCCCCGCTGAGCAGGGACCCCGATGCGGGGCTTGATCCCAGGACTCTGGGATCATGACCTGAGCCGAAGGCAGACAGACGCTCAACGACTGAGCCACCCAGGCGCCCTCAAATGGACTACTTCTTAATTCAAGACTCTGAAGTATTTTCTTCTTGTGAACTGGAGGCCAAGCCAGAAGCTTATCTCCCTGCAGGCATCACTGCTTCTGTGAGGGGCCACCTTTTCCTCCTCTTGTTTCCCTACTCCCCATTTCTACCATCATTGTCACTCGGCAAAGACTGGGACTGCCATGTAAACTGTGGATATCTGCTACTGCTTGCTGATGTTCACCGAAGGCCTAGACTTCTGCTGCTGCCATCACTTCAAGTCTCCCCCCAGGATCCCCTTTCTGCTTTCTGGGACCCGCATTTCACTGTTGGGAGTTCTGCACGTTACTGTGGGTGGAACAGAAGGGAATGAAGGAGAGTCCCAGCATCACTCCCTAAAGTCCTCAGCTGGAACTTGGGATGTTTTAATTTCAGAAGTAGATAGTTGAAAGTGGTGATGAGATCTCATGCTACTATTAGTGTAGTACTATACTTCAGGGGAAAAATGAGTTAAGGAAGCATCTGGGGATTGGCTCAGAATCTAACCACAATGGTTCTATGGCAAATTGGCTACGAATTTGCCAATTATCAACTTAGAAATGACTATTAGAACAAGACCTATTCGCTGAGAACTAACAGAGCTAATATGGTCTAACTATTTCAGATTTTGTACAAAATGCAGATGGATCTAACTTGTCTGAATTAGGGCTTCAAATAAAATAGATTGAATACATCCTATTCCAGCAGGCTTGCCTTCATTACAGGCCAATTTTCCCATCGGGAAAGCGGCAATAAAAGTCTGATACTCTGGTGGCACTAACACCTTCTGGATGTTTGTAGAAGGAACAACATTGGGCCAAGTGAGCAAGAAGAGAGGAAGTTCCTGAACCACTTGCAAAGGGTTGAGGCTGAAGAACAGATGTCTCTGGGCTGCCCAGACATCTGCCACGTGAGCCAGCAGTGCTACCACTGCCGAAACCCCAAGTCTACAACTCAGGGTGGTCTGGAAGTGAAGGATCGTTTTCTTGAGAGTGGTTTCAAGAATGTAGCTCCTCACCTAATAAAAGGAATGTGCAATGATTAGCTGAGTCTAATATTAGCATCTGTAAAATAAAGAGGAATTGGGCCTGCTATGAAAGAGAACAAAGCTTGCACGCACCAGCTGCCAGGTAAAATCTGCTCTTTTTCGGTCATAAATCTTTCTTGGATGCCAGAGAAGAATTTCACTTCCGCCAGAAACACTGGATGAACCAAAGAGAAAGAACATGCTGTTTTGGAGTTGAAAGTATCTTGAGTTTAAAGCTCTTGGTGTCTTTTCTGCCTGTTTTGCTGGCTTCTTTCTGATGGTGTCCTTGACTTGACCATGCCTTGCATTATTTTTCATGGGATAAGGCAACAGTGGGGAAAGGTAATGATGGGATATTTCCTTCAGGCTTTAGCTTCAGTTAGAGAATTAGCATCTGACATTGAATTTTATTGTTCTCTAGGGTGGACCCTTGGTTAAACTTTGAACACCAAATTTTGATAATTCTGAAGCACACATTGATTTTATGGTTTTCTTAAACTCAAGGATGCCACTAATTGGGTACAGAAGTTGAATTGACTTGTTCATCAAATAAGGTTAGTACTCTTGCTGAACCAGAGATTCAAATTAGCAGAAACCACCTTATATTATCTACTTTGTCTTCATGAAATCCTTTGATGTAGGGCATTGGTTCTCAAAGTACAAGCCTCACAACATCAGCATCACTTGGGAACTTCCTAAAAATATACATTCTTGGGCCCCCTCCAGACTTACTGGGGCAGCAATCAGTGTTTTAGTTAAGTCTTCTAAGTGCTTCTGATGCACAGTAAATTTTGGGTTCCACCAATGTAGGAAACATTATCACCATAGAATTTATTATATGCCATCTTATCTTGGATCTTTGAAATCCCTTATAGCTAAAACTTTCAATGTTAAATCCTAGATTTCTAAGGATCTATCATGCATGCAGATGGCAGTCAATAAATGTTCTCTATAGATGCAGCATCTCTGAGGTAGTAAGTCATTTTTTATTCTCCTCCCTTCCTCACTCCTTCCCTCTCTTCCTCCATCCTTCCTTCCCTTCCTCCCTGCCTTCTTTCCTTCTATTTTTTTTCTTTTTCTTTTTTGGTCTGGCTCTATATCACTTTAGGAAACATTCTCTTCTCTTTTATATTTATTTTAGATGGGGCCTACAATCAAGTGGATCTTATCTCACCTGCCACTTGGTGAGCCACTAAGTGGCCAAGCCACTTAACCCAGGCTCACCAATCAAAGAGCTCCACCCCGGACACAGTGATTGGTCCAACAGTCCTAGCAGGGCCACTGAGAATCTCTGGAATAGGAGAGATCACTATAAACTCTATGAAGGAGAGACTCCCTATTTCTGACTTTGTGAGGACAAAGAAACCAGGTGAACTTGGAACTTTTGGAAGGCACATTTGCTTCCACATGGAGATAGTCTGCCTGGGAATGAAGCCAACTCAGAGGAAGACAAAGCCAAGTTTTGTATGAAGAGAGGGCAAAGAGCTGATGTCATCTTTTGAAACTTCATGCCTTAAAACTGGAATCTGCTTTCTTCCCAAGGAGAGATTCATAATCAATTCAACATTCCTTGTGAATACCTTAGCTTAGGATCTTGTGGACATTCATATTAATGATTTTTTTTCCTTATCACAAAAAAATTTAATCTTAGTAGGACTGTGTCATGTAGAAAGTTAAAGTCCCTTGTGATCATTTCCACTTTGAAAATCACTGTATGTAGTTTTGTGCATATTCCTTTAGATATTTCTATCAATATACTAATGAAATGGGATGTAATTGAGAATTTTCTTAGTGTCTATTTTACTAGAGGCCCATAAAATTGAGGATAAAACAATAGGTGTCAACACCTACATTCTAGAGTGAGGTTATCAGACTATTTATGTAGGATTTGCAAAGTGACTGATTCAGGTCTGCCATTATTAGTTTATATAAGAAGCTATATTTTTGAGAAGGCTATGAATTAATGAAGAGATTGATAAGGCCAATAGGAGCACATTTCTGGAGAACATTTTTGGCATGGTGGGTATAGCCCCCATCCTGAGGTGGGGTCAGAGAATACTTCCCTTTCACTGTAAGTCAAATGGGGGAAGAGACTTCAAGAAAATCACTCAGAAGAGCTTTTATGTAACCCTGGAATTTGCGGGATATGGTACCTGGTAGCTCATTCATCCCTCATTCCCACTTGTAGGGCAGCAGAGGGAAGAGATGAGACTGAACTCATAATGTGATTTGATTTGACTGCCTGCCAACTGTTTCTAATTTGGAATCATTGCAAAACATGAAATCATCCAAGTAGAATGCAGCTATCTGGTTTGGTTGACACTTGAGAAACTTTCCTCTATCACATCCAATCACAGATTTCTCCTCCAAAGCCACAATCTTTCTTTCACACTCTCCTGAGTCACTGCTCCTATCCCGGGTTGTCTCCACTCAGTAGACTCAGGCACAGAACAAATGAGATTGTTATTATGTGAAGAGATTTTGTAGGACCACTTACATGTATAATGACTTTAGTTATGAGTGTACAGACAATAGAAATTTTTACAATAATTTCCAGGTCTATGTACCACTTAACATCAGAATTTTCTGGAACTATAATTCATTTTCTGGATTCCGTATCTACCTTTCCAACCCCAGTTTCTTCTTCCTGTACCCAAATGAACTCCATTGTATAAAGTCCTTAAATTCTGCCTATGAATTCTCCCTTCATTGAATCCCCTCTTTCCTGAGCATCTAGCCTTTAGGTTCTATTCCCTTACAAATACTGCAAGAATATTATTTATAACAACCACTTATTAACTTAAAAAAGTACATTTTGGGGTGACATTACCTCATTTTCTCCTCACAATATCCCTGTGATATATTACCATCTCCGTTTTGAAAATGGGAAAATGGAAGCTCAGAGGGATTGAGTGATTTGCCCAGTGTCACAGCAAGTTAGTAGTGGATACAGGACAAGAATTTAGATCTTCCTACCTTGCAAGCTCTATATTCTTTTCATTACAACCCCATCTCCTCAGCTACCTGCTGTCTGAAGCCACAAGTTTACACTCAGTTTCATCAGCTTCAACTCTTGTTCTCTGCTCTGTATCTCCATCATTTCTCCTCAAACTCCCTAAAGTTTCTTCAAACTCTATCAGGAGTTTCTGGGAGTAGAGTTACATTTCAAGTATTCTGACGCTGGTCAGACTGACGCTTGCCAGTTCACAAAGAATTTTGGGGAATAAATTGCTTCAGTTAATCAATCCAACTTGAATATTTGAGACTTCTATTCAATTAATTTTTCTTCAGAGGTGTTTTCTATTTTTAAAGAAAAAGAGTTGAAATTCCCATTTGGGGAGATTTTTTAAAAGAAAACCAAGGCTTTTCTAAAAAAACAAGTACTTGAGCAGATATCTGAAAAATGTTGGTAAATTAAAACTTCACTAAAAAAATCATTGTTTCATTATCATCCTGTATGTGTATAACGTTTATTTTTCTTCTTCCCATATCACTTTTGGCTACTAGCAGTTTTTTTTTTTATTAAATCTTTGTTTTATGTAACTGTGTCTTGGTAACTTTTCAGCTAAAAAGAGAAAAAAGGATAATCTTTAATGTTATTACTTGCTTTTGATATCATATCGTTTAAAAATAGTTGACACTGACCACAGGGGAAGGGAGGGAAGACTGAAAGGGAAGAAATCAGAGAGGGAGACAAACCATGAGAAACTCTGGACTCCAGGAAACACATTGAGGGTTTCAGAGGAGGGGGTGGGGGAGGGGTAGTTTGGTGATGGGTATTAAGGAGGGCATGTCTTGTGATGAGCACTAGGTGTTATACGCAACTAATGAATCATTGAACACTACATCAAAAACTAATGATATACTACTGTATGTTGGCTAACTGAACATAATAAAAAAATAGTTGACACTGAATAATAATGGAAATAAGTAATGAAAAAGATTAGTTTTACTTGTATATGGCTGCTTGAACAGACACTGATTTTTACAGCTGATTTCAAAATTTAAATCTTTTTTTAAAAAAATACACTTTCAAGTATGTTAGTTTTTATCTTAATCTGTTTAAATATTAGGCTCCCTGGTTTATATGTGCACTGAAAGTGGCTTGGATTAACAACATTTATTCTTGGTTCTTGGAAAAAAATGACATAACTTCTTAATTTTATATGTCCAAAAACACAAGTCCCCAAGCAGCATTTACAGTAAATGTTTACATATATAACCTCATTTGACCTTCAAAACAACCCAGTGAAATGTTATCATTATTTACAAGGTGAGAAGCATAAAGGTCAGAGGGCCCTTATTCTGTAAATATTGATTAAGGTTTACATGGCCTACAAGAGGAGGGGTTCTATAGGGCTATTTGGCCCAATCTGCAAGCTTAAGAGGGATTTTCATTTTGGTTGCTATAAAGTGGAGATCTTATCTATGGAAACAGGGTTTGCCCTTGTCTCCAATGCCAACTTCAACCTAGAATTATTCTATCTTTTTCAAAAAGCCACATTGCTGTCATTTAAGAAACTGTGATGGTCACTCAGAGGTACCGGGAGATGGCAAGCCAGTAGGGTTGCAAGATAAAATATAGGACATTTAGTTAAATTTGAATTACAGATAAACAATGAAACATTTTTAATTTTTTAATTTTTAAAACGATCTTATTTATTTATTTGACAGATAGAGCAGCAGAGGGAGAAGCAGACTCCCCGATGAACAGGGAGCCCAATGTGTGGGACTCCATCCCAGGATTCTGGCATCATGATCTGACCCGAAGGCAGATGCTTAACTGACTAAGTGACCCAGGTGCACCATAATGAAACATTTTTAAATATAAGTATATCCCATGCAATATTGGGACATACTTATACTAAAAAAATGTAATATTTATCTAAAGTTCAATTTTAACTGGGCATCCTATATTTTTAATTTGCTAAATCTGGCAACTCTACAAATTGGCTTCCTTGGCAAGGAGCAGTTGATGGCCTGGTCCAAACTTTAAGGGCAGTGAATCTACTAAAACATCACGAGAGGCAGACAAACGTAGAAGCTAAAGATGGATTGTTCATTGCTTGAGTTCATATTCTGATTCCACAGCTTACTAGCTTATTTCACCTTCCTGTGTCTCGATTCCCTCCTCTGCAAAACGGCAGGTAAACAATAGTCTCTATTTCCTTAGGGTTTTTGTGAGAATTAAATGAAATAACCCAGAATACCTTTCACATGATAAATGCTCAATAAACTTTGTTTTTATGTTAGTATTCTATATAGTGTCTCCTTTTCCCTGAGAACACAGTGATGATAATACTTTGAATTATCCATTATATATATATATATATATATATATATATATATATATATATATATATATATATATATCTGTTTGTCTGTCTGTGTCTATATCTACATCTATATCTATATGTAAAGTTTCTTACTGGCCAGGATGCTTATATTTAGTAACTGCATTGTCTGGTGGATCTCCTTTAAAAATATTTGTTTCCATTTGTAGTGCGTTTTGTATTAAGTTGTCTATATTTATTATTATTGGTTTCAACTCTGGTTTAAGAAAAAGGTTAATATTTAGTTTAAAAATATTTGCAGATATGTTTAACCTTATTTTTTTGTTAGCTTCATTATAGTACTTATAAACTTTTAATGTATAATGTATTATAAAATTTATATATATATATATATAGTTTTATTGTCAGTTTTCTATTTTTCTATTACACCCTAAATATTTTTCTATTACATTTCTATTACATCCTAAATATTTTTCTATTATATTTCTATCCTAAATATCCTGAATTTGGATATTAATTAGGAAACAATTTAGGGAAAAATGCAACACTGTATGTTCTGAAGAGGGCAGGTATTACAGCTTTACCAAATGTCATAGTCTTATATGCATGTGTCTGCATACCTATACTTTACATATATGCATGTATATATCTATATATATATGATAATTGTCTTTAGATTTGACTCTTTATCTTTTAATTCATGGTTACCATATGATTCTACCTAAAACTCATAAATCTAGTAATAGCTACACATGAGGGATGAGAGACCTCAACATACATAAGCTGAGTGTATTTTCCTGATGCTTTTAGAAAGTCTTGTGAGGACTATGTACTTATCAGTGTGCTAAGCATTGTGGGATCATGCAAAGCTGCATCAAACCTGAGGGGCTGGGTGCCTGGGTGGCTCAGTTGGTTAAGCGACTGCCTTCGGCTCAGGTCATGATCCTGGAGTCCCAGGATCGAGTCCCGCATCGGGCTCCCTGCTCGGCAGGGAGTCTGCTTCTCCCTCTGACCCTCCCCCCTCTCATGCTCTTTCTCTCTCAAATAAATAAATAAAATCTTTAAAAAAAAAACAAACAAAAACCTGAGGGGCTTATGATTTGCTTGAGGATAGAAGAATGGGGAATAAAACATAGGTAAAAGTAACCACAGTAAAAGCAGCAAGTGATAAAGGACTTATGAATACTGATAATGTCTTCTATGGGACCTATTGCAATGGACAAGGGATAGATCCAACTGCCACATTTGACATGACTTTAACATAAGACATTTTCCCACTGAGGTTTGATTTTCCCATTCCTTTTCTTTTTCTCTTCTCCTCTCCTTTTCTGCTGGACACAAACTTGCCCATTAAGATCAACATGAAAGGTGACATTTAACAATACTGTCTGTTGTATGAGATCCCTAAATAGCATGGTTTAATTTTGAAAAATGTTGATGGTTTTCAAAAATTTCAAGATATTTCAGACATAAGGTACATAAAATAATATTTCAATGTAAATGAAAATAAGATTAGGCTAACTTTTTTATATTAAATGAACAAAACTGTTTACCAACACACTGTACCCCCCAGTGCCTAAACGGATATATTCACCTTTTTCTGCTGGGGTTTGCTGGTGGCACTGGAAGTTAACACACCCTCAGCAAAGTAATCTGTCAGTGTCCATCCACAGCCACAACAATGTCTACACTTTTGTCTCAGTAATCCTGCATCTGAGCAACTAGCTTAAGAAAACGGTGCAGGGAAAAGCTGGTGACACACATGTAAATGCATGTGTGTGTTTATGTATCCTCTGTTTATCTAAATCTGTATGTTTGAGGAAACTCTTACAATTTTTACCTTCATATCCGTATTTCCTGTATTAGGAGAAAACAGGGCTGGCTTCCCGAGTGGGCAAGCAGTACGGTTGCATAGGGTCCCATAGCTCAGAAAGCATTTCATGCTTGGGGTTTAGCGTTCTGTGGCTGTCATTTTGAAATTCTAGATAATTTTATCTTTAAATTGTGTTTTTGTAAGTGAACTCTGAAGGGACAATGAAGCAGGCACAGGCCTTGATTTACCTGTGCTCCTCTCCCCCTCTACCTCTGTTGGATGGGTTCTCTGCCTCCCACTCCCTAAAAGTGCTCAGTTATTGCTGCTGTCTTCTACCCCCGGTGGGGGCATGGGCGTGGGTGGAAAGAGGGTTGGGGTCAAGCATATGCACCCTAAACTGTGGGGCAAGGACCCAGACACCTGTGAGTTCACCTGGAAGTTTCCTGTTGTACTCAAAGGAGTGCAACACTAAATAGCAAATAAAAAAAACCCTTACCTTGACTGGCTGAAAGAAAGACCACAAAAGAAAGGAAAAACTTTTTTTCTTGCTTTTGTGGACAAGGATCTTACATTTGCATTTTGCACAGCGCCGCATAAGTTATGTGGCTGGCTCTGGGAGAAAAATGCTAGTAGGTGAAATTTTAGAGGGCTTGGGGTTGAAGTATAGCCCTAGCAAGAGTTATTCTGGATAAAATGGGACAAAGGCAAACTCTTCCCCTTAGCCTCAGACCCAGGCTGCAGGAATGAAGCCAGGAGGGGAGAGAATGCAGACAGCCCTTGTCATTCCCGTGGGCAGAGCTTACGGCTTTTCCCACACTAGTAAGAAAGCGTCTTCAACTCTTGGCCCTGAGAATTATTGCCTTTCTGGGCTGTGTGTGTGTGTGTGTGTGTGTGTGTGTGTGTGTGTGTAGGAGGGAGGTGTGGAAGGCAGTGCTTCCTGGGTTACTTTCTGTAATATTTCTTGTGACTTTCCTTTTGTTTCCTTTTACCCTCCATTTAAAGAAATCATCCCATTATTTGAGATGAGATTTGTCCCAGAGCTTTAGTTCTTGTGTGTGAAGATTATTTTTTCAAAGTAAGAAAAAAGAACTAAGGTAGATTCAGCACTCCAGGCAGACTCATCAATCTTGTCTGTAATTGGGTCTGCCATTGGTGAGTAGCCACTTGGGAGGAAATTGCTCACCCATGTGGAGTGAATGAACTCTTTCAGGGCGCTGGGCGTCCACAGAGGGCCGTGCCATGGCCTCCTGCCAGACAGTATCCTCCCGGTGCCTGGCTCAGCTGCAGACTCAGGTTCAGACCAGGGAGCAGTTTGTTCCTCTGGTCCTGCAGATAAGAATCTGTTTGCTCTCCCTTTTCCTGGTTCAGCAGGGCTGAGGTCCCTTTAGAGAGGCATTGACATTTAAATGCATGATGGCTTTTGGTGATGGGAATAGGGATATGGACTCACCAAAAGCTTTGAGTACCTTTGTTTGAAGGAGGGAAGAGCAAGCAATAGTAGTGTTGTGACGTCAAGGTGAAAGCTGATGAGGTCATTCCTGCTTCCAGTCCATTAATCTCTGGACCATTTGAAGCCAACTGTTTCTAAAGAAATGCCAGCTCCACTGGCAGTTTCTCCATAATTGTTCTAAAGAGCTGGCATTACTTTTTCTTTCCTCTAACGTATTCCAAATAATGCCTTGTTGCAGGAGAGCTCAAGTAAAATAGTTACCCATCCGAATCCACAATGTGAGATCACCTCTTTTATCCATCAGAGGCATTGGAGATAAATTGATAAGGAAGTGGAATTCCTGTGTTTATGCTTTCAGACGATTA